CCGGCTCAGGGAAGGAAAGCTCCGGCGCTGCTGGGTGCCGCAGCACCCAGAGGGGAGAGCCACCGCGGCCAGACGATGGTAACTTTCGAATGGCAAAAGAAAACAAAAATCACTTTGCAGCTTTGATGAGAAGGCGTCAAATGCGCCACCGCCACGAGGGAGGATCACGCAGGCTGCCAGGATCTGTCTCTCTGCCAAGAGGGTGTTTTTAACAGCAAACAAACACCCTCCCTGTTGCGGTGTCAGAAGCCGTCTGATCAGACACTTGATCATCGTCCCTCAGCGTTATCGCTAACCTGCTAACTAGTCGAGAAAAGCAGCCTCCTGCTTAGGCGTCGGGGAGCAGCAGCTGGGCACAGCACAAAGATAAATCAGCTTGACACCGTCCTGTCCCCAGGTTTCACGTGCACGGGCGCAGCAGAGAGAGGTCTGGGCATTTCCCTGCACACCTTGTTAGCTCGGGGGACAACGGCCGGGCACAGCCCGGTGATGAGACCACCTGGGAAAGGGAGGAGGACACGGAGCACAAACCTGGCCCTGTCCCACCTCACGCCAGGTGCTTGGCCGCTGAGAAAGCTCCGGGTGATGCAAGGACGCAAGGCAAGCGCCCGAGCACTGTCGCAGGGAAGGGCGGTTTCCTCCTGCCCAGCGCTACCTACCAGCGCTGCCCCAGAAGGGGAACGACTGCGCGGGAAAAGACGCTCCCTCCTTTGCCTCGCTCAGCAGTTTGGGCTGAGCCTTTCCGAGACAGCTCGTCAAGAGTTTGGGCTGAGCCTTTCTGAGACAGCTCGTCAAGAGTTTGGGCTGAGCCTTTCCGAGACAGCTCATCAAGAGTTTGGGCTGAGCCTTTCCGAGACAGCTCGTCAAGAGTTTGGGCTGAGCCTTTCCGAGACAGCTCGTCAAGAGTTTGGGCTGAGCTTTTCCAAGACAGCTCGTCAAGAGTTTGGGCTGAGCCCTTCCGAGACCGCAGTCCTAAGTGGGTATGATAGAAAACCAAAGGAAACCAAAAAGCTTCCCAGAAAATGAAAGCAACCTTGATGTCTCTTGGATATTAACAGTGAACGGCGAAGGCAGGAAGGCAACCACCCCCCATCGCACCAGGGTGCATCTACAGTCCCGAGAGGGAGAACCTCGGAGCAGCAGCTCCCCTCTTCCTCCAGGAGAGCTGGAAGAGGACAATCAGCCGGCAGCAGCAGCCCCACCAGCAGCGCTTACAGGGTGACCTCCAGTGGGATGAGGAAGACATGACAAATTTCATGCTACGTGAACAGGAAACTTTATTTTAAATCCATCTCTGTGAGTGATAAAGGAGCAGAAAGGGGAAAGAGCAGGGTCCTTCGGAGCTTACCGTGACCACCACCCCAGGGCACTCGCGCAGCTACAGGATTTCGGGCAGGTTACAACATGAGTCGACTCCTGCCACTTTGGCAGAGAGAGGTGTAACCGTCAGCTCCGCCGAGGTGAAAGGAGGACAGAATGGGTGCGACGCGTGCACAACCGCAGAGGGCGCCGTATCCCTGCAGCCCTACATTCAAACCGCCTGGCGGCTGGGCAGAGGGACCTTCAGGCAGGAAGGAAGTGGCTGGACCCGCCCCGCGGCCCGCCGTCC